TCCGAGCACTCACCTTTCTGCTACGGTGGAAGAGCGGATTGCTGTGGATATGGGCGACAAGTTTGGCATCATGTTTGACGGCTGGACCTCGGAACACTGCACTAACAACGCCGAGCTTGCTCGCCATACCGATTACAAGCCATTATAAGCAAACGCGTGTCGGTGGTCGTCAACCGACCAGATGCTCGCCCGTTCATGTAAATTTGCGATGCCATCAAGACGGTAGCTGTGGTCGAAAGTTTGCTTCTTCTCCCGCGTAGTCCGTGACCATTGACAACTAACTTGGAAATTTTAGAGTTCGGCTGAATGCAATGCCACGGCGACCTTTGCTTCTTTTTCGTGTAGTCCGTGACCATTGACAACTAACTTGGAAATTTTAGGGCTCGGCTGAATGCAATGCCACGGCGACCGGCTATCAAGTACACGAGTAATCCACATCAACGTCTAAATTTAAGCATTCTGCGGTACCATTTGTATTTTTTTTTTAATTCTTGGAAGTGTTCCATTCCATGTTTGATTTGACATCACTTTGCGGTTTAACATCGCACAACGAGTCCGCGTATTCGGAGACAGCGTTTGCAACGACTAAAGTACGCTATACATTTCTTTTATAAGTACTTATTTAGATAATACTCCGTAGTAATGCAGTACTTTACGCCAGCATTCCATCATTTTCAGCAGATTTCATAATGAGCAAAATACCTAAATATCATCAGACACAGATTGGTGCTAAGCGCAACGAGAAAAGACGGCATCGATTTACATATACTGATGTATCATTTGCTTTCTCTGTGAGTATGCGTTACAAGGGCTCGCGACACATTTTTTGCAGGTTAGGTATTGTTTTAGCTGTGAATACATAATTTAATACTGCTAAATTAATATTTTTGGAAGAAATTAAAAAAAAATAGTTTTTAAAAAGAAGATATCAATAACATTGTTGGCGTGCCGCAGCTGAATACACAGCGTTTGGACTTGGTCGATCAGCGGCTTGTAGTCTTCAAGGTACCGGCCGACAGCGAGGTTGAAGCGATGACTTGCGCATCCTACGAGCGGTACTCCCATGCGCGTAGCGACGGCTTGGTTTGTAGGGCAGTTGTCAGCAACCATGAACAGGACCATAGTGCGATCCTTCTTGTAGACATCCCGCACCGCATCAATCATGTCGATGTGAGCATCAGCGGTCTGGCCTTGCTCGGCAGAAGACAGCCCGAGCAAAACTTCGTGTAGCGCCCCGTCCTTCGTGAAGACACCGTAGATAGCGATGAAATGGTAGGTCCCTGAAGTCCAGCCGTCAAACATGAGGCCAAACTGGTTGCCCATGTCTGCCGCAATACGCGTTCCCACCTTGCCCGCCACGTGACGCATGTACTCGACCAACGTCTTCGAAGACACTGGCTTGATTGCAGCCAGCGCACGCGTCATGGCGTCGTCCACCTCACTCAGGCGCATGTTCCGGACGAGAATCCACTTCATCCACTTGAAGATCTCCATAGTGCGCGGGTCAATGAAGCCGTGTGCTTCGAGGGACTGGCCGAACGATCGCTGGCTCTCGTCGTAAGTCTTCTTGTAGCCGGGGTGGCTCGTTGCGAGGTGGTTGATGAGATTTGTGTAGCCAGTCCCCGGCGTCTGCTTGCGAGCCTTGCCGCACTGCTTGCAGGAAAACTGCCCGTTGCCGCAGTCCGTGAAGAAAAAGCTGGAGATGGCGCGAGAAGTTGACATGGCACTGGCGAAATGAGAAATGAGAGGCACAAAAGCTCAGCCTGATGCCTCCGGCAAACTCACACAAACCATTCGGTTTGACAACCACTACTTTACTCTCTGTTGCTTTTTACGTTGGGTAAAAATTCAATATAATTATTACGGGCACAATTGCATATTTTACGGAAAGATCAATTTGCCAATAATCCATTATTCCGTCAATACAATTGCACAGTTATTATATTATAATAATTTTTTCCGAGCCCTGTCGCCACGCTTCCGGGTAGCCTTTGAAGTCTCCATCGTAGCAGACTCCGCAGGTGGCGCTGCGGCTACCGACTCTGCATCTTGTAGTGACGTCTTAGTAGTCTTTGGCTTTCTCACTCTCTTTGGGGTCGGGGAAGCTTCCGTCATGGTAGATTCCACATTGGCTGCATCCTGTTGCACGCCCTTGTCATTCTCACATGCTTCGGGGGTGACTTTGCATCGGTCGTAAGAGCGTCTTTCACGACAGATTCTACCAGTTGTGGTACAGAGGCTGCCTCCTGTAGTTGCACTGGGTTGCTTTTAGCCTTCCTGTCGCGCATGGGCTTAGTTGATGACGTAGTATCCGTAGCTGCAGAGACCTCATCTTGCAGCGATAAAGTGCAGGTCTTTGACTTCCTCCCGCGCTTCGGAGTCGGCGTAGAAGTGTCCGTCGCAGCAGGTTGAACCGAATCCGAGACGGCTGCAGAGACAAGAGCCTGCATGGACACTTTGCTAGTCTTTGACTTCCTGCAGCGCTTGGTTGCGGGTGGTAGAGCTTGAGGCACGGCAGGTTTGAGAACTTCCGTTGTGGCTTCAGAAACTGCATCTTGTGTTGCTTTCGACTTTCCTCCACGCTTTGGAGTCTTAGAAACTTTTGTCACATCCGATCCGACCGATTCCGGTACAGCTGTGGACGTAGCATCCTTCGACGACGTAGTTCTAGTCTTCATCTTTTTGCCGCGCTTTGACTTTGAAATAGTAGAAAGTGCAGAGGTCTCTGTCCCAACAGAGTCACGTTCCGTTGCAGCAACAGAGGCTGTTTGCTGCGGTGGCTTCGTAGTTTCCTTTGTCGGTCTAGCGAGCTTTGGGGACGATTCAACAGGACTAGAGGCAGGTGCCACACTAGCATTCTTGCTGGTTGTGCGTCTACACTTGGTCGTAAACTCCGCTTCAGCACGAGTGCCGGATGGTGTCTGCTGCAGTCGACTCCCAGCTTGTTTCGATTTCCCTTTCGTCTTCTTTTGCGTGATCAAGGGAGCTTCTTCATCTGCAACGGCGGGCGTCGATGCTACTGCTGTCGACGGCTCTGGCGCACTCTCGCGGGTCCGTGTCTCTGATATATTCTTCGCCGCAACTCGCAATTGATTAGTTGCATTTTTCACGACGCACGGATATTTTTGAGGTGCTGGGAGGCGGTGGCAGCTGCGTCATGTGCGGCAGTTCAAAGGGGATGACACTGATCACTTGGCACCCTCTCTCCACGAGCGCCATTAGAGACGTCTCCCGTTTGTACACGAACTCAAGGAACAAATTCTTAAGTAGCGCCATGTTCCGAGTGGCTGCGCGCTGCTGTAGATACAGGAAGACGCACCCACGAGTGTCCAGATGATGCTTTGGTTTGGCAAGGAGAAGTGCCGCTTCGCGACGTCTCTGGGCGCTGGTGCTCAGCACCGGGTACATGGTGATGATGGTACAGCCGTGTTGCATCATGGGGGCCAACGTGTTCTCGTGTTCGTTGAGGAAATCAGCAAAGATGCGACGCAGCATCAACATGTTCACACACTTGAGGCGCTGCTCCAAATACGCAGCAAAATCTTGCAGCATAGCGTGATCTCGAGGCACGGAATCGGGTGGGGCCCTTCCGCGACTCACGTACCCATCTATTGTCACGATGGAGCGCGCCTGCGTTGTCGGGCCTGAGGCCGTCGCCATGGCGTCCACGGTATCCGTTATCCGGTGATGTTGAAATGGAGTATCCGTTATCCGGTGATGTTGAAATGGAGGATGCTATCGTAATACATTTAAATACTTTTCGTTATCGCCCGAAATATATTTAAAATTATATAACACAATCATTGCAGGACACTTCATTTTGTTTGATATATAAATTAGTGAGATACATTGATTTTGCCGTATCCTTACACTGGGACAGTCGAGTGGCTAAGACGAGGATTACGCGGCTTGTATGAAGCAGAGAACCAACATTCTGGTGAATATCTTCTCGCTGACAATGTTAAGTGACGTGGTGAAGGGAATGCTAGAGTTGGTTACGTAGAAGCACATTCGTACCAACTATCAGAAGCTTTACACGCCTGCAGCAGCCCTGCTATATCGGTCAAGAGACAAGCAGCCGCAGAAGTGGAAAGACAGCAGCTAAATTAGGCTCAAAAGAGGGCATCCAACAGCCGAACCGCGGAAAAGTGGGGGGGGGGCGCACAACACGACACGTGATACACTCCGCCACCGCGGACCACAAGGGTGACCGTTGGCTACGAGATAGCCCAACTGCCGCACCTGAAGAAAAGAAAGAAGCCAGGTCACATAAGAATAAGGCTTGGAAAGTCAAGCGTGCAGCTGAAGGGAAACCGTCGACAGAGATCGCTGGACCCGATGATGGAGAGAAAGAAGTGAGCAAGGTGTTAAATGACGAGGAGTACACAGGTCTGATCAATGGAGCCGTGGGGATCTGACTGTGTCCAGACACGGGTGCAGACAAGTCTATCCTTCAGCCAGCAGATGCAATACAACAAGGTTTAAATGCAGGACGGCCGGTAGGGACTCGAAGACTCGAACACCAGAGTGTACCGGTAGGTAAAAAAACTACGCCGAGTCATGAGGCTGCTCTGATTGATGTGCAAATATGCCACGCCGGTTGTGACTTCCTGGTCGTCGAAGAGGAAGATGGGGGAATTCTATGGCAAATTTTGAGTCCTGTGGGTCTTCTCGGTTATTTTCGTTGGTCTGTTTCTATGCGTTGGCGTTGGCTCGGAGCGACTATGGATTTCAATTCTAGGATCAGACAAAATGGATGCGGCAGTTACTCTCAGAATGGATGTGTGTTCCATGTATACAAACGATATCCTCTTAGCATGAAGACGCAACCAAATAAGCGGAATAATCCTATCATCACTACTCAAATCCAAAGGTAACCGACTCAGACCCCCACCGTCTGTACGCAAGCGGTATCTTTGACTTGACGCGTCGTCTCCGGAACTCCATGATCCCTATAAATGATCCCAACACGCTATTAACTACAGTGAGTGTAGTAGCGTTTACGCACGTTTCTCCTTTTCCACAGTAAACAGCGACTGCAGAGAAGACCACGGCAAGTGCCATGATAACCAATCCTCCATCAAAGTACCATCGAATCCATCCTGACCTGACATCATCAAGTAGTGCTGCATCAAAATCATGTTACAGTAGTTGTGGGGGAGAATAACGCACTTACGCTTGTACTTGATGCCCTGATCCGGCTCATCCGGACAGTCCACCAGCACATGAATGTCTCTGTCTACTTGCTCGAGGTTGTCACCGAAGTATTCATCATTGTTGAGTCTGCACGTCTCGTCCAGTAGCAAGTGCTCTTGCATGAGGTTTTTGATTCGGTCTGGAAGTTTTTTCGCCTTAACCGCCTTAATGTCTGCGTCTCGCGAGTTTAGCCAAGTGTCACCCTCCCGCGCGAGATACAGCTTCAGCAGATCTGCATCAAAGTAGATCAAACCGGGATTCTCCTCCTTGATCTTCGTCTTCAGATCATCGACCGTCTCGCTGAGCTCAATGTCCACAGGGAAGACGCTCCCGACTCCAACCACCGCGCAGAGCAGCTTCACCATCGTGTTTCTTTTTGTGGAATGCCAGATGTCCTTGTCTGAGCCCAATAATCCTTGCAATTCATTCCACGATTCATTTTGCAATTCATTAGCTGATAGAAACGAGGATGTGACAATTGTGTTCGATAGTTTGATGGAGTCACCGGATCCAGCAGTTGATTAATTCTGAATTTTTATTCAAATTCTACAGTTTTAGGATGTAGAAGCTGCTTGCAACCTGAACTTCTCGGCGTATTTACCTTCGGTATCGACGATTTAAATAGCTCTGGAATGGGCCCAAGAGACAGCACAGCGTTTGATACGTTGTTGAGCTCGATCACAGCGAAGTCGCAGCTGAGTAACAATTCGTCGCCAGTGACGAAATGCGTGTGCTCAACGACGTCGAGTGGCCAGTTGACCGGCAGCGACGAGTTGGCTGGGACCTCCACGGTACAAGCACTGATAAAGGTAAGACCGAGCATATGACTGAAGAACACACGCCTTTATCGCTTGATGTGCTAGCATAGCAGCTCGACTAAGTGCCTTCGGACTCGTCTGTGGTTGCTTTACAGTTAAGATTTTAGACGTTAACCGGAGGGCAATTTCACTAACGCGTGGTCGAACACGACAACCCCGTACTTCCTCCTGATTTACGGGAGGTACTCCATTAACGTTTACTTTCAAATCCAACAGCCCTTCTCAAGAGCTAGAGATTCACGTTGGTACTCCCGTCTTACCGACGTATTCAGAATCGACAAGTCGTTGTCAATGAGCCGGAAATGCCTATCAAAATCCGAGCAGAAGTAGAAGTGTATCGACGCGTCCAGCACCACGATGTGGTAATTGTGGGCGATCTCGTATTTCCTTTAGGTAGCTGAAACTCAAAACACCTTGAGCTTGATGATACACTGTGGCTTCTCGCTCGTGACGTTTGTGGATCGATTCCGAAGTTGAAAGAGCGTTTTTGCTCTTGCCAAGGCAGGAAACTTTGCTGGCTCGGTCATCGTCTCCAATAGGATTTAACCAAGCACGCTTCGAAATAGCTACATTTGAGCAAGATGAAAGAAAGATCATCCACCGATGCACCTACATCTACACTCGAGCTTCGTGTTTAGCGTCAAGATTGTTTGGCTACGAGAGAAAGAAACAAAACTGCAATGGCAAATACAGATTGCAGAACCATTAGTCCAATGTAATTTCATTTTTGTAGAATCCTCTTGACAAATAAACTACTGAGTGGTCCGATTTAACAGGTTTCTATTCTGAAAATCGGCAAACATTTGATACTTTATTTGCAGAGGCGGCCGATGATGGAGACTTTATAGCGAGGGACAGCGTGCATGTGGAGACTCCAAGACTCATGGACTTGCTGCAGGGTCGTCAGGGTGGTGTGTATGCATCGTCTGGGCCTTGTGGCTGCCGGTATGGAGTGGAGAGAGGGATTGGAGTCTCCTTGTCACAAAGCGATGGGTGGTGGATATCTATAAAACAAAGTGTTCCGGTGTATTTGTGCTGTTTTACATTAAGTGGAGCAGTACTTTACATGTAATTTGGGCTTTGCGCGCACTGCGACCGATATTAGGTGGTCTGATGGGCTGCCTGTAACCCTAGGCAAGAGAGAGGGAGGCCTATTTATTGTAGGGGCTTTCTTTGATCGAGTGTGTTGCATGTTGTTTGTTGACCTCTTTCTTCTCCTCCCACTCGGGTCACAACGAGGATTTAAGTGACAAAAGGAGAAAGAAATGATGGGGTTTCAGTGGTGTGTGTAGGACTCGATGTGTATTTACGTGCTCTCTGCTCCGTTGTAAACAATGTTTACACATTGATTTACTATTGTTCCAAGTGTATCTTGTTACCTCGTTTTGCTGCTTGGAGTGTGTCTGGTGATTGAGACATAGTATTCCCTGTTGGAATCCAGATTCATATCTAGGACCAGAGTCAACGTGAAGTACAAGGCGGATGGTCGAACTACGGGACCTGGCACAACTGAGTTGAGCACAAAGGTGCTGTGAAGTATAGTGAAGACAAATGATGCCAGGCCAATGCATGAGAAGCGACTGCATGGTCGCAGAAGAACGTTGAGCTGAGGAGTAGTGAAGCTAACGATCTAATCATACTTTCTTTTACCTTTCAGTGGACTGGTGAAAGTGTTCCTAGGGCATACGGATCAGGTGCATTATCCAAGAGGGTTCTGAGCCCAAAAGACTTTCGGATTTTGTTCACTAACGTGATCTAAGATGTCAGGACCATTAAAGTAC